CTCATTAGGATTTTCACCCTTCTCGATTTGCGATACAGAAGTGCAAACCCCTTGGTAACATTCTCGTTATAGCGTGCACTTGCTTCAGTGAAAGCACACTTGATCTTCTCCGCTAATGCCTTGCCTTGCTCAGCAGTGACTTGACGCTGCTCTGGTCGAAGATCACTCTTGTTACCAATTATTGTGATGGGAACCCATTCAGTACCCTGCATAGTGTCAGTGAGCTGTTTCTTCAAAGTGATTGGAAAGAGAATTGAAATTCCTATCGTACCAAGTGATTCAGGATCTTATCCTTGATGACCTCCACCATTTCGAAGGATTGCATTGAAGCAACGGAATAGACAAGCACATAGCCATGGATACCAATGAAATGCTTTGAATTCAAGATACTGTATTCATCCTACAAAGTAGACTCTGTTAGTTATTTTTCCAAATATGCAATGACATGTGATTTTGACCAGACGAAATAGACATCTTACCTGACCAGCTGTATCAACGATTTCTGTGGCAAATTCCTGCCCTTTGTACTTGATGACCTTGCTAAAAGTATTCTCGATAGTAGGATAATAACTTTCTACAAAGTGGCCGTCGACAAACTGTACAGTGAGTGAAGATTTGCCTGTAGAAAAGAAATGTTACTCTGATGTACTGTATTATATGGTGCTTATTATTATTGCATACCGACAGATCTACTGCCCACAATAGCAATCTTGCGTTGTTTGGGTGGGGCAGGCATGTTGAAATTATAATAACTTTAGATAAAATTATAATCAAAGGTAAAAAGGGTTGTCTTGCAATTGAGTACAAGGAAAGCGAGATATGGAAGAGCTTTTGATGTTTTGTTGGTTCTTGCAAGAAGGAAACCGGGGCAAGGCTGAGGTAAGAAAGAGGTTTGTTAGTACTCCGTACCTAGGGCCAAGGTTCTGGCGGTTCAGGGAGTCGAGGTGCTCACAGGCTCACAGCGCTAATGTTTAGGCTGAGTGGACCCAGATTAAGCTCGACTGGGAAGATGATCTCCCAACATAAGACCTACAGCTTTGGGAGCAACCAGGAGAGTGAGTTATGGATCAAGTTGTCGAGTAGGTGGTTGGGCGATGAATAAATTAATATGAACGGAATTTTATTATCGCATACCACTTGAGGGTGCTTTTATGACGAAAGAAATATTGATTATTGAATAATATGAAGTCATTCCAAGAATAGGAAGTTTCTCGCAAAAAGCTATTTCCTGGTACGGATTTGATCATTAGTACTCTCCAGCTTTAGCAGTGTTGTCATGGCTGTCATGGCTGTCATGTCAATCGAGACCGGAGCCCATCGCCGAAACTCCAACCTACCTCATCACACGTCAAACACATAGTACCTACTAGGTTGGCAAGCCAAATAAATTACTCGTTCTGAATCTGCCACGACAACAGCAAAATCGGATGAGCATATTGCTATCCGGTGAAATACCTCTATTTCTATAATAAATATGGTAATAGTAATGTGTTGTTTCCGTGGCCAGGGATTCTGGTGCAAACCCAGCTGCACCCTATGGATATTTTCGATGGAGGAGCACTCCATATCATATTTTCCTGAATCCCTCCTCCCCCATCCCTAAACAACCGTATCTAGGGTATATTGCAAGATCTTCTCTCTGAACTGAACGCCTAAAATATATCATGAAGTATCAAAACATTTGTATCATATCCATTGTATCCATTGTATCCATTGTAACCATCATACCCATGACATCCACATCAAACACCTTCTGACTGCCTTCTCCAAAAGTCTTTCTATATTTCACGTGTTGGCTCCTTTGATTGCCAGCAACTTCTTGACAAGATCTTCGAGTTGCTTTGTTACAGTAACGTGAGGATTGCATCCTTCTTCATTTGGGGAGATCTCATCGTCGGCTGCTTTGTGATAGACGATAAATTCATTAATAGATGTGATTAGAGGCCGAAGTGTTTTCGT